TGGTGAGGCATGAGCCACTATGGACCCATGAAAGCAGACGCATCACCGAAGCGGTCTCAAGGACCGAGGAGCAACAGAAGAAGAGAGTGTACAATGAAAGACTTCAGCTATTGTTCCAAGGGAACATGATTGCAGCCACGAAACGCCACAAGGCCAAGATTCGGTTGCAGTTCCTGGGTGTGAGAGTGAAGGACCCCGGCACGGAAACTCTTGGATCAGCAGGTTCGAACAGGTGGGTATCGGTTCAGGACCAGATCACGGAGATCCAGAACAATGATCATTGCCGGCACGGCCAGAGGTACCTGAACATGTGCAACGGCTGGGTGAAGCCATGGGCAGGTCGGGCTACGAGTGGTCACTCTGCGCACTCAGATCCCCAGAACAACTTGCTTCAGTTGGACAAGAACAGGTTCGCAATATCTCCATCTATGACCCTCTTGCAACGTCTTGGAGGTGCGTTCCACGCTACGGCATGCCGCAACTTGGATTCCATTGTCACACAAGGCATCATGCCTGGTTCGGAGGACCCCGACGGGGACTTCGACCATAGGCGCCAATTCCGAGGCAACCAAGGTGGCAGACTCCACAGCTATTGGGGGGTGTTTGCGCAGTTCGATCACCGGAACGCAACGACCAAGATGCGAGTACATGGACGAGACGCCAAGCACATGCCATTGGCGGTCCTTCATGTCCCATCGCAGGACCTTGCACGAGAAGATGGACGTATCACAGACAGCGGCATCGTGATCGTTGGCCGAAAGATACCTTTCCATTTCGTCAAGGAGGTATGGTTTTGCGTCCCTGATCCTCGAGATACACACTCTTTCGCTCTGGTGGAAAAGATCTACGATGAACGGTTGGAGAAAGAGCTGGTGTTGGACTACAATGCATCACCGTTGCTTCCTGAGTTCGAGAGATAACGAACGCCAAGCAAGATCATGGAATTGCTTTGCGAGATGCCTCCTGGACCCCACGACACAAGCAAGGAGCAGATCATTCGTGACCTCACGACTGTCCTGGAGTCCCACAGGGAGAACACGGTTAGGCATCACTACATGGACAAAGGAATCAAGTTTGTCATCAAGAATTGGCGACCCGAAGACCTACGCAGAGACGAGGATGGACGGAGAATGAGGGTATGCCCGGCATGCTACAACATCGTTCCAGCATGTTTCTCCCGATGCACGTCTTGCTGGTCACAGTTAGTTTCGAGCGGATATTACCAAGGTTCTCCACAACGGGAGACTCCTACGGAGATCCCCAGTGACTTCATTGCTCAGACAATGGAAGCCGCAGCAGCCGCAGTGCCTGAGGCGCCCGAAGAGGAGCAGGAAGCCATGGAGGTAGAGACCGTTGCGGAACCTGAGGAAATCCCGGAACCATCTGTCATCGCGGAGGACGATCCAGAACAGGAACCTGATGAAGAAATGGACATAGAGCCAGGAGAGGACTTTGATGACGCAGTACCAGAAGCAATTGCACAGGAACGTCGTCCCGTCTTCGTTACCGGCCAGTCTTTGAACATCGATCCTGAGCTACAACTTGCACGTACCGCCATGCAGCCATCCTACTATTCTGGAAAGCGAAATGCCCATTGCATTGACGCTAACATGACCGCTCTTTCGTACATGGCATACGTGGTATGCAGATCCATCTACAAGGCTTGGTCAGGAGTCGCAAAGTGGGCGACTATGCCGTTGTTCCAGATGAGGGAAAGTTTCGCACTTGGCCAACGCTATGATGTGCTCGGAAAGTGGGGATCTTTGGCGGCAGTGGATAGGGAAACGGGTGTGAGCAAGGATGTGAATGATGAGGAGATCATTCGCTTTGCCAAGGAGCCTGAGAACCTCAAGCAGTATGATCCCAACGGGACTTACACCTTGAAGCGCTTCCGGACGAACCAGATGCTTTCTTTACTTACACGGGGAGCCAACATGATGGGAATTGGCAGGGACAACTTCAACCCTACTACTTACTTGAAGAGCGAACGGGATGAAGATGTGAAGGCTATGCACTTTTGTTGCCTGAACGTCCTGTGCGAGGTGATTCCAATGGTGACGGGACACCAACAATTCTCAGTGCTACGACCAACGCCAACTGGACCGGTGGACTTCTTGTACATCGACCCCGTCGGTATCCTGCTGACTCATGCTGATCATTCAGTCCAGACCATTGGATTGCTGGTGGACCACAATGTGCAAATGCCTGCGCATTTCATGGACAGATTGAACAGATCCAAGGCTGAGAGACAGCAAAACCCGACGACCCAGCGTACTGAAGCCCTACACCACATTTCGGCCGCTGACTATCTCCCTCCAGGTGGTACTTCCATCCTGGACACGCCTGTCACTACGGAGGAACGTGAGAGCGCTTCTTCGGCCAAGGGACCTTCAAAAGGGCGTGGGAGAACCGGAGGTGAGCAGCATGGAGGCTGGAACTCCAACTCCTACTACGACTACACCGCCGGCAAAGGCCGAAACAAAGGCAAGGACAAGTGAAAGCATCGGGAACAGTATCCAGAGGAAAACCTCCGGCCCTGGGACCGCGATCCTGCGACCACGCGAAGATGGAGATGAATCAACGCTTGGTCTTCCTCGCCTATCAGTTCGTGACCTCTGAGCTTCGCCCATGGAATGCCATCGCGAATGCTCCTTTCTTCGGTGACGCCTGATTCGTTTGTCATTTCAGGGGATCGTTACCGACGTAGATGAGTGTCACAACGTTTCTAATTGGGATGCAAAGCTCTGATTTTCAATGCCAATGTTGCGGCGGAACATTTTCTGTTGTCCTATCGTGCCATCTGCCGGGTGAGCAGCGTCGGAGACGCAACTCATGGGGGGTGCGAACGGACTGCGATGCCTTGTCAAGTTCTAAGGTGTCACTATAAGAGCTGTGAGCAAGACCGTGTAAAGTGCCAGAGAAGGGGGCACGCTACGCGTCCCTCGACTCTAAGGGGGCACGCTACGCGTCCCTCATCTTTACCTTTCTATGTGACCGCCCACGCAACGTTTGGCTCAAGTCAATGCCCATAGCTAAGTGCTATAAGCGTCTTCTATCCTGAGCAATCAGAGCTATCCCGGTGCACAGACGAACCGCCGCCGGCAGTGAGTGCAAAAGGAACGGCCGCCGATTCTGCCTGCATAGGATTACACGTGTGGAAGTAAGAGGGAGAGACAGGGTCCAGTCTGTGGAGAGTGCAAGCCAGCCACACCTACATTCATTACAGCTCTGGTGGGGAGAGCAGCAACCAAGTCGAGATCAATCCCCCACGCAACAGGCTTCTTGCTCGGTGGCGGATCACTTCCGCCAGATTTTGCCCGCAGATGTGTGGGATCCCTAGCCCTTCAAGTGGTGGGTGAGAGGGTGGCGGGAGGGTGTTTGGGAGGTATCCCCAGGATTTAAATTATTTAAATAATTATTTAAATTATTTAAACTATTTAAATCATTTAATTCCCGGCCCGAATTAAATAATTTAATTTAAATTATTTAAATTATGTATAATTATTTAAATTATTTAATTCGGGCCGGGAATTAAATAATTTAAATAATTTAAATATTGGAGGGGGACCTCCGGATTTAAATTATTTAAATTATTTAATTCGGGCCGGGAATTAAATAATCTAAATAATTTAAATTATTTAAATCCTGGGGGAGGGTCCCGGGGGGGGTCCGGGAGCCCGGGAATTAAATAACTTAAATAATTTAAATATTGGGGGAGGGCTCCGGATTTAAATTATTTAATTCCCGGGCTCCCGGACCCCTGCCAGACCCCCTCCCCAGGATTTAAATTATTTAAATTATTTAAATTATTTAAATTATTTAATTCGGAATGGGAATTAAATAATTTAAATAATGTAAATATTGGGGGGGGCCTCCGGATTTAAATTATTTAAATTATTTAATTCGGGCCGGGAATTAAACCTCCGGATTTAAACTATTTAATTCCCGGGGTCCAGGAACACTGGAACACCATATAGGGTCTATTTGGCAGCTAGTTTCTGGAGTCCTGCCAACGCACACACATCCAGCTGCCAAATAGACCCGGTTTAAGCCACACTCGGGGGGGGGGGGCGGTCAACGGCTGTCCTTTCGAAGCGAGTTGAGCCATGAAGAAGGAAGCTTGACACGATCGGAGTAAGCCCATGTGGCAAATCCTAAAAAAAGAATGCAAACGAGCGAGCTTCCTGAGAGTAGAAGACTACCATTCAGAAGACGGTTCAGAAGCTGAAAGCTTCAAGTCTGATTCTGAGCGCTTCCAGACGTAGCCCGCCTGCTCCTCAAGAGTGACTTCTCTTCATGTTTCGAGAGCCGTGAGAGCTTTGTGTGTCATCACATGCATCTGCTACGGTGAACTTGAGCAGGATGTGCTGCTGCTTGAAGCCAGCTAGCCGCCAAGCCGTTGTGTGGAGGTCGTTGTTGTTTGCTTCGCGCGGGTACATGAAATGCGCCAAAGTCAGTTGTGGGACCGCGGCCTCAATCCGCGACGAAGGGAACCGATGTGTTCAAGGAGAGAGCTGAAGGGCGAAGCTTCAAACAGTGAGAAAATCGTCTGCAGAACCCTTCATCAATGCGTTTAGGGGCCACCGCCACCGCTATCCTGCTGCATGAGCCGCTGAGTTGACAAGATCTTCAGCAGGCGATCCTGCAGCGACAAGCCGAGTCCGCAAGTCCTCTTTGTCAAGTCTCGGGCTCTGGCTGAAAGATCCCGGCTGACAGCTTCGACAAGATTGTACGCCCTCCAGAGCGGGTACCTTGCTCAATCCACGGCTCTGGATGCCATCAGTGGCAGGGAGCTGCGCTCACTGATTTGCGTTTCGGATTCTCTTCAGATGGTTGAAGATGGTCCGCACGGCCTGCACTCAAGCAACGAGGCTAGGTCTGCGTATCAGCTGACTTACATTCGCATATCCGGCCTGCGTCAGTTGCTCGATCGAGGATGCCTTGCAAAGTCTACCACGTCACGAAAACCCGGAGCATTCTCAGTCTCCTGCCCTTCCGGCTCAGCCACCAGCCACGAGTAGCTCGTTGATGGGGAAGTCCCGGAGCCTGCGACGACGAGCACTTGCTGTAAGCCGTGATTTCGACTCCAAGCGTGCTTTTTTTTCCTCGGGGCTGGGCAAGCTGAGGTAATTCGACACCTTCTCGATGGCTGGCTTCAGCCCCGTGTCCGCCTCGAAGGACCTGGGCGGACTGGGCGGACGAAGGAAGAGCGAGGAAGTGGAGCGAGGTCTGGAGGTGTTTGGAGGGGCCTTTGGAGGCGCTCGGAGGCCGCTTTAAGTGCACTGCATGGTGGCCAGGAAGCGCCGTGCGCCCTGGAGAACACCGAAAGAACGAAAGAAAGAGAACGGGCGATGACGCAACGCAGGCAGCAGGCACTCAGGCACTCAGGCACTCAGGCACTCTGCTGCGTTCTGTCTGCCCCTATGGGCGGCGGACACGTAAGAGGTTCAGGGTCAGCTGGATCTCCGGCGTCTGCAGCTGCTGCTGAGCATCATTGAGGACCTGGCATAAGCTTTCTCCTTCGCAGACTGTCGGTATGCAAAGGCACATGAGACGACAACTTCAAGGTTCTGGCTTTCTCCATGCCGAGCCAGAAATTGATCTCTTGCATCGTGCTGCCCGTCGATGAATCACGCTGCATCTTCGCAGCCCGTTGAATCTCCTGTGGCGAAGCGGCGAAGCTCGCTTCCGCTGGCCCTGCTCAAACAAACCCTCCCTCTCCTTGCTCCATTTGTTCACACCGCCTCAGGGAAGAGGACTGCAACTCGAGAACGGATCTATCACGATCTAGTGCCGCGCTTTGCAGTTGATTCTGGAAGGTCGAGTCGTTCATACGTTCCTCTCAGGCCGGTCCAGGTCCACTCTCGCTTTTGAAGCAGCCGCTTGCCCATCGATCGCATGGCTCCTTAAAGTCGTCGGTGCTTAGCTGCCTTCCTTCTGACTTCGCCTTCTCGAAGGCCTCGACAAGCACAGACAGGTCTAGCCCAGTCCAGACTTTCAGAGCAACAAAAACAGCAGAATTTGCAAGAAGGAAGCAGCAAACCTCCGCGATTTCTGGATCTATTGGAAGAGAAATGTTTTCGATATCAACGTTCTGCTGGCACTGCCTGACGTTGCTTTCGCATAGCAGAGCATCGGTATGAGTCAGCTTGGGGCCAGAACATCAGCGCCATACTTAGGTCCATGATCTTGCGCATCACATTCGGGACGCCGACCTGGCCGGGCAACCTCCGAAACCCGGACCAACCGGGTTTGGGCTGGGAGCTAGTGTGGCCTTGATTTCCTCACGGTCATCATCACCAGCACCCGTCTTGTTGGCGCTTTCTGACCTTCGAGCGGCTCACACTCAGCACATCTTACAAAAACTTCTGATCAAGCAAAGGCACTGCTTCGCAACCGCGTTAAACAGCGGCGCAAAGCCGTTCTGAAGATAGAGGTGGACAAGCTCGAAGGGAGACCACCTAGCCATCTTGTCTGTAGAGGTCTGCTAAGACCGCTGAAGTTAAGGCAAGGTTGCTCGGACTCTGCTCCCATGGTCAGCAACCTCCGCTACCGGCTAAAGATTCGCAAAGGGCAGCCGCTCTGCTGAGGCATGCCGAGGCGCTGGAGGTGCGACGTAAAGTTGCCGTTGGAAGGAACGGCACCTATCGGCGAGAGATGATGCAAACGAGAAGGGAGGAGAGCAGCACTGCTGGGACACTACTAACTACTACGCTCGGCCTTCTTCCAAGGTGCCTTCATAGGCCGCTCGAAAGGTCGCAGGGCTCCGTTTCAGCAATGCCACGGCCTGAGAGAACAGCCGTGCGACGTGGGGGCCACAGAATCAAAGCGCCAAGCTCAGTACACAGGCTTGTCTACGAAAGACAACTTCGTTCTCTGTGATGATGGTATATTCCTTCTCCTCAGCATGCAAGGAATGGGAAATTAGTTTCACAATGTGTACTGCACAGATCGCGATGGAAGCCTCAGAACTCTTGCCATCTTCCTTTTTGTCTTCTCGGTCAACCTGATGGCAACGGGCGGGATCTAGATTCTAAACGAAATGTATCCGATGAGGCAAGCAGGACTGGGATCCGGACCAGCTCGCGAGCAATGAAAAAGGTAGTGTCTTGGTCATCGTAGATGAAGTGGCGTACCTTGTTCATCATCTCCAAGCTGGCGAAATGTCTCGAGATCTCATCCTGAAGGTCGGGCAATGAGACGTGATGAAATTACACGCATGCTTGCTTGGCAATCTGGCGAACGAGGAAGCAGCTCCGCCTTCGGAGCTCCCAGAATCGCTGGGCACACATTGTTTAAGAACTCGATGAACGGTCCAGGGTTGATTTTGGTATGTTCGCCCATCGCGAAGCTCAAGCCATGCTGCCACTTTGGGCTGCTACAAGGAAAATCCGTGCCACAAGGTTTGCTGAAGAGTGTGACACTGTGAACTATTGCTAGGTGCGGGCATAAGTGTTGTTCTCCGTTTCCAAAGCCTGCACAACGCGGTTTGTTAACACAAAAAAGACCATAAACCGGATCACTACATGCAGCACTCATTGCGAACTGATCAAACAGTGGCATGTATCCGGTGTCGCTGCACTGATTCCTGCATTTACACTCCATAATAATGGCTGCATGCGACAAGCACGGCATATGCTGGGAATCATCGAACAGGCTTGAAACTGCTTCTGCTTGCACGACAAACTCCCACGAACATGCGCGCGACTGACGGGTTCACATAGACTCCCATGCTTCTGATACCCAGTTCCAGAAACCCTGCATCACTGCCCGCTTCCGAAGAAAGGGCCCGCAGGAGATTCCGCGCTCATAGTCCACTCACCGAAAAAACCCCCACTTCTGTGGACGTCCAACTAACGGTTTCGCACATGTCGTGTGTAGCTGACAGTACGATGGGTGCAACCAATGAAAATCCGCTCCTTTTCTTGCTCACAAAGGGCTTCGGTGCACAACAAATGTTGCAGTCATTGCGACGTTCAACAAGACCGGCGAGAATCACGATCCGAACTTCGAATACCCAGGAGAAGCGTTCCCGAACGTCTCCGCGGCCACGGTCATGGAGGGCCAGCTGCAGCTGGGAGCGCTCCAATTCCGTAAGAATAGCGTCAAAAGCATCGCCGCACCTATGACTCCAAGATCCGGAACATGCGCCTGCCGAACTTCGACAACACGCATTTCGTGGCCGCGTTCCCCACGGAGCGTGTACCCAAGCACCCCGCAAGCGTGCTTTCGACCCGTTCCGGCGACCTTTGCCGCTTCACATTCAAGTCGATGCTCGCGGACCGCGTGGATCAGTGCTTCGTTGGCCTCGTTTCGATGCAGATCGTGACCCTGTCGGGCAGCGGTGTCAGCGTCTTGGACAAGATGTAAATGAGTCTATTCCCCATAGACTGAGAATACGAATCCCAACTTCTGCGCGATTGCCAAAACCGAACTTGGTCGGTTGTGCATCGGAAGCTTGTTGGATAGGCAATCCGAGTGCACAAGCAGCAGCAGCAGCAGCAGCAGTGCAGCAATCCACAATCGGATGCAGAGGTCCTACGGCTGAAACCTGTGAAAGCAGAGGAATCCACGTAACTCTCGGTCACAAAGCAGTGGGCAGTCAATCGTAGATCGAAGCAGTTCAACAGAAAAAGGACGAGAACGATCGGTGATTAGAGCCGTTAGGTTAACTGCACCACGTAGACCTTTTGCTGGATCTCGGCAAGCCGGATCTTGAGCAGTCAAGCTGCAATCGTGAAACAAATTTGGCAAGAGACCTGCCAAAGCGAAAAGGCTCAGCTACAAAGCTTTACAGTACCGTATTACCTAACTCGGCACCCAACTACCTGAAACAATAGCACATTCTTGTCTATCTCAACCAGCAAAGGCTTCGGATGCTCCCGACCTGGCATAGGCTTCGTGCAGCTTTTCTCTTGCAGGCTCTATGCTCCAGATCAGAACCACGTAGCGCGGCACTTCATACAGCCATACGAAGCCTTCGTCGCTCACGGAACTCCGACGTCCTTCAGAGCCGAATGAACGGGGCCAACCCTGCTAAAAAAGCCATGAAGAGCATCCCAGAACATCCCCGAAAATTTCAGAACATCTCTGCCCGTCATGACCCCCTTCTCAATCCTCCTGGTCAACGGAGAACGAGCCGATGTCAGAACGGCCTTCAGGCCTTATACGATCGCTTTGAAGTCGAGCTGAGGGGGCTTCATCTGGCTTTTGGGGGTCTGTTGTAAGCACCATAGCCCCGAGAAGTCTTTGCGGGCACAGTGACCGGCAGCGGCTAAGAGTCGCTGGAGGCCTTGACCTGCGAGTTTTTGCATCAGAGACCCCAACAGAGGCCCTACCAAAGCCGTAGGCTAACTGACAGTCTCCGTCCAGCTACTCAAGTCTTGGCACTCTCGTGCTGGCTGCACAGCTGCGGCTGCCAACCCAGAGGAAATCTGAACCTGTGGAGCGCCTCCATCTCCGAGACGCTGATAGCACCCGTTCCATGGCGGATGATGCGCACCTGCGGGAAGCTGGTCTTTTTGGGGTCGTTGAGACCCGGGAGAATCCTTAGTGTATGACTGACGTTGGGCAGAAGAAGCATGAAACTTGCCCCACTCAGGCAAAAGAACACCATCTCCAGGCGATGACCGAGGGCATGTCTCCGAGCTTCATCCAAGCTCATCTGGCGAAGCTTTGAATTTCAGTAGCAAGTACTGGCAGTCGGTAATAATTCTTAGTCACCTGGCTCCGGATTTCAGTAAAAATCGACAATTCATCCAGCTCCGGACTTCAGGACAACACGACAAAACCTCCAATTCCCTATTCGCCCGGCCTCGGTGCCGAGAAGCGCACACTGGAAGGTGAAGAAGTTTCGCACGCCCACGTCAGTGGAGGTGCCTCTCAAGGCCATGAGACGATAAATTTGACCGGAGAGCTTGCGAGCGTTGGGAATTGAGTTTGGGCTTTGTTGTTGGCCTCTCCTCACGCTCCTAGAAGCCTTTTCAAGGCTAGAGGGCTTCGGGTGGCTGAAATGCCTGGGGACAGGTTTGAGGACCCCCCATCGCGTGGACTTACCAGGGCATCGTTTAGAGTCCAAGCGATTGCTAATTACTGATCTAATTGGAGGCGCCGATGCCGCTGTATACCTGAGAGATTGAAGGAGCTTCAGCTTGGGAAGGCTTTGTGGCCGCAGTAACACGCCCAGGACCCTCCTGTGAAGCGTATTGTTGATCTCGGGCTTTGGAAGTCTTGGGGCTCTGGGCTGCGGCAGCGGCAGCAACGGATTAGGAGACACCCCAGAGCAACGACACCCTGCACTTAGGACGACTCCGAAAGATCGTGCAGATCTGTTCTCACCATCACCACGCTCAGCCCTTGCTAGCTCTCAACTTGACACGAACACGAACATTCAAAGCCCCTTGCACGGAGAATTTTGTGCGCATACCCTGCTCTTAACAAAAAACAGTCCTCCACACTGCTGCCACTGTCCGTTCACCAGAACTTCCTGAACTGAAGGGCGAGTTTGGCTCGAGGAGACGCAGAACAACTCCACTCGTCAGGTGAAGTCCGCATGAACCCACAATCGTCCCCCGAAGGCTCATCCCGAACTTGCTATCTCCTTGTGCCATGAAAAGTCCTGAGGTGCAGTGAATTGATGGATCTCGTTTGGTACATCTTCGGATTTTCATGGATTGTTAGAAGTTGTTTGGTGCAGAACTCGACCATTTCACGAGCCGGCCACATATTCGCTCCTAAACTGCAAATAGGCCTTAGTGGCTCCTCGTGATTCGGCAACTGTACCGAAATACAGTGTCAATATGCAAGCTGCAGCACGCAGACAGACAGACAGCCAGCCAGGCAGCCAGGCGGACAGACGAAGAGACAGGACAAGATAAGCCAAGCGGATGACTGGTGGCGTGTCGGGAACCTGTGGGTTTGGAGGGGGTGCGGAACTGACAGAATATGCTGCTGGGGAGGAACGTCGAGGGGGAAGTCCGGAACACAAATCCACAACGCACCTCTTTCCGCCGCTATGGTGCAGTGCAATTGCTGGGAGGGTGGAAAAGCTCTTTTCGTGAGGAGTGTTCGACGCGGACACTGACGCGGACCGCTCCTGAAGTAAGAAAGCCTTTTTCCAGGGGGGGTGGGAGGCGATCGCGAAGGCCTTTGAGCTGGGAATCCTCCCCGGTCGTCACTCTCCTGCATGATTTTTTTTCCGACTCGTGCTCGTTCATTTGACCGGCTCTTGCACCCGACACGTGCCGTATCTTGTGTCTGACTCACGCTCGCTGAAGTTGCAGCTTCCGCAGCTTACAGATGCTCACAGTTCTCCTTTCATCAGCTGTCAGTTCCTTACGGTGACCCATAGGTAATGGGTTCCTTGCCTGGCCTACAATTCCGATGCAACGCAAGACAAGGCAAGGCAAGAAAGACAGAGACAGACAGACAGACAGACAGACAGACACAGAGACAGAGACAGACACGGACAAACACGGACAAACACGGACAAACACGGACAGACAGACAGACAGACAGACAGACAGACAGACAGACAGACACACAGACAGACACACAGACAGACAGACACACAGACAGACAGACACACAGACAGACACAGACAGACAGCCAGACAGACAGACAGACACAGAGACAGAGACAGACACGGACAAACACGGACAGACAGACAGACAGACACAGACAGACACAGACAGACACAGACAGACAGCCAGCCAGACAGACAGACAGACAGACACAGAGACAGAGACAGACACGGACAAACACGGACAGACACAGACAGACACAGACAGACACAGACAGACAGACAGCCAGCCAGCCAGGCAAACAGACAAACAGAGAGACACAGACGATAATATTGCTGCAATTGTGCGCCAGCTAGTGGGAAGAAATGCCACATTGAGGAGGCATGGAGGGACGCATGCGTTCTTGCGTATGCGTACGACGGGTTCAGGTCACAGAATATGTGGAAGACTAGGAAACAAACCATATGTGGCGTGAAATGAACTTTTAGTTGAATCGGATGCGGGGCCAAGGAAAAGGTGTTGAAACGAGCTGCTGCACAAGGGCTAGGGAAGTGGAAAAAAATGTGCGAGTGGGGCATCAGAATTATCTGCTCGGGTTGGAAAAATCTCAGGAGAAAAACTGCTGAAGTGCTGAAGTTCTTCCTTTCTTGGCTTTGGGAGGGGTGCAATGTTGCATGTAAACGCTGCAAAAGACCAACAATCAATCGCCAGATTCTGCGCAAAACAGCATGATCCAACATGTGAACCAGCTCGGCCGAAGTTCCGCATTCACGCCCGCCGATTGAAATGAACTTCTGTCAGGTCGGGAGAAAATCTTCACCTGCACGGGGATGAAGGGGGAAAAGGACACGGAGAATGAGGAGCTTCTGCTGTCCCCTTTACGCAGCGATTTCGGTCAGGGGCCGGGGGGGCTGAAGTTGCAGCCGGGCTAAAGGAACCCTAAACCCCGAACCCTCACATAACCCCCTAGCTAGGTGTCGTCGCTGTCACTGTCACTGTCACTAGCACGCAGCAGCCCTGTGAGTGTGGAAGGGTTTACAGTTTTGACCAACTCTAGGACTTTAGGTACTTGAGGTTCTGCGGGTGAAGGCTGGATACTCTGGCTAGAAAACCACAGTCCGGAAAAGCGCCTCGCGCACGCACGTCTCCTGGCCGAGCACCACCTGGCCGAGGCAACACAAGTTTGAACTTCAGCAGCGATCTTAATCTGACGTATTTGTGCGTGAAATCATCAAACCCATATCCCAACGAAAACCCTATCTTAACACCAAGAACTGAAATTAATCGATGCAACAAGTGCCAAAAAATCCCAAGCGAGTGTGAAAGAACGCGATGTGCTCAAAACACAACTCTCCGCCTTAGCCGACTCTGTCTCGCCGTTGCAAGAATGCCAGAACCTTTCATGAGGCTTCTAATTTCACTCCAAGACCTCGCAAAACGGTTGTATGGCAACTCGAAAGGTTTTGGTGTAAATAGTGTAGGGTCTGCATCTCCACGTTTCCTATCTCAATTAGTTCCTCCCTCAACGTCCTTCCCATTTCCCCTCATCTCCTCTCAGTTCCGCTAGGCCTAATTTCATCCTCTGGGAGACAAAGGAGTCTGGGGCTTCGCGGCATGTATCTTGGTCTCGCTGGACCGGGATTTCCAGAGGCAACCTAACCGGATCAATTTCTCAGCCCCACAGCTAACGTTGTGGACTCAGGTTATTGGAGACAAGGCACTCGGTGGTCGCGGTGGAATGAGTCCGGGTGTCGCCATCAGTCAAATCGCCCTTACCTGTGTACAACAAGGTTGCAGGCTCCAAACCCCTCAGTGATTGATTCTAGTGCAGCGTGTGTGTGTGTGTGTGT